AAAGTTTTATGAAAAAAGATAAATTTTACAATAAAATCTTCATTTCCTAATAAACTTGCTTCTTCAAGTATAATAGTTACGAAATTTTGAAGTATTTTAAGAGATTAAGATTTTAACTTGCTTAAGTCTACACTGATGTTGCTTAAAAATTGTTTTACAGTGATATTGTTTTAATTGCTGTTGCTTATTTTAGGTTATAGCCTACAATTATTTATCATAGTTCAAGTAAATGGATTATTCTGAAATACTATCCTGATACTTTAACGAATAAAATATATAACAGCAAATAATTGAATATAAATTTGAGCTTAAAAGCCAATGATATTTTAAAAATAAAGTTATAACTAACCTCATCTTTAAAGAAACTTCTTACTTAGTTTCCGATGCCACTTGTACCAGAAATATACAATTTCATATATGACCTAAGATTCATTGATTCAACAGCTTATTTTGGTATGCCAAACTTTCTTTTTCTTTTTATTTAATCCACAATCTGCTTCGCTGAATGCCACTAAATTCCATAATTCTTTATTTAATTGTAATTTGATAATGCATACTTGCCGAAATATGATATTTATAAGGATTTAGATAGCATAGAGAGCATCGCTATTTCCTCTGGGTAGTACCTGACCTGAATAAAATGTTTCATATGAATATTTATTAAAGGTTACGTACTTTGTACTGGTATCCACATTAAATTGACACTGAAAAAAGTATCTAAACTGGACAAAATATTATATATTTCTAGTATTGCTTTAAATGCTATTCACAGAAAAATGTTATTTAGATCAGATACTATTCAGAGAAATCCATTTAGAGTAAATCTTGCAACCTTTGAAATACACAAATAACCTAAATTTGTATAGGCTTTACAGAATATCTATCAAATAAAATATGTATATTCTTGGAAGTAAAGGGATAGAGTATATTATATGTTAAATTCATTTTGCTGAAAGCAGATAGTACGATATAAATTTGGAAGAAGCATTGAATCATATTACTTATTGTAAATTTGCCTTTAGGCAAGATTATACATTTTACAAGAAAAGATTTAAATAGCCTTATGAGTCGAGATCCAAGTGTTTATTTAAAAAAAATCAAAACTTAATCGAAAAATCGTTATAGCGATAGATCTTAAGAGACAATTTTATTTTACGTAATCAAATTAATATGAACTTTACGATTTAAATTGAAGGAAACTCAAACAAGCTTACACTAGATCAACTTCTTACATTATTCCTATTTAAGTCAGCAATAATAAATATGTATCAATATGTAGCTTTTGTTTCAGAATTAGTGCAAATTGATAAAAATGTGAAAAAATAACACTTATTAAAATTCTATCTCTAAATTTTTTTATTTGCAAAGTTTCTATTGAGATATCTAAAGCCTTTACGTTTTTACTTCTGTTGACAAACCTGTTTACAATAATTAGAGTTCGATTTGTTTAAATAACAAAAGTCTTTCTCATAATTAAATAAAATTTAAATAAATTTTAGTTAAAAAATTCCTATTAGCTTTAGTTTCATTAATCTTTTACTCCTTAGGCAAAATACTTATAAGACCACATATGTATGCTCAGTTAATACATTCACTTATTACAAAGTTAGGTGGGCAACGTAAAAATAAAGATGAAATATGCAGTTACTACGCATAAATAGAATATAGTTCTGATCTATTAATGATTTGTTCAATTTTAAGATTAAGATATCTTTAAAGAGAACGGTGATGCTAGTAACAACCTATATTTTTGTGCAACGTACATCTATATAGTATTCCACTCATTTTAGATAACCTATAATATTTTGTAGGGCAAATAGTTCTATTAATAAATTTCAAATTACTCTTACCCTAGAATAGCTATAAGAAAAATCGATTAATTCTATTGATTATAATATATCAAAAGTAATTATTTTTCTAAATTCCAGGGTAATGGCTATTGGTGTAGCCTTTGTTGAAATTAAAGTTTCTCAAGTTCTAACATTAAATAATTTCGTTTATTATTAGACTCAACTGGATTGTAAAATATAGAAATAAAATAAGTAGACATTTTTGGAAGTCATGTTATCATATAATAATATTTTAAGTTTAAAGGAAATATCTAATCATTAAAAAATTTTAAAAAGAATTTAGTAATGATAGTTTTGAGATATCTGAAATTATTTTACTCTCACTTAATGTAGCATTGTATTACATTCATCTATTAAATGGTTCTATATTTGATTAAGTCTTATCGAGTTTTGCAGAGTGTACAGTTTCTGAATTTTACTAAGAATTTTTATAGTCATTAATTTAGCTTGATTTCTCTTATAACGTAATATCTTTGAAGGAGGCTAGTATGAAATTAATTCATGATATTAAGCTCTTGCTGGCCATGACAATATAAGCATGTCAAATTAAGGGACTAATTCGAGTGAATGAGAATAAGACTTGTAATTGTTTAAATATTTGTGGTGTTTCTAACAGTTAATGTTAACAAGTGCTTTTTTAATAAGGGCAATGGAATTTTTTAAATAAATCGTAATATATGCAAAGCAGATTTCTATATTAAGTGATGCATTTATTCTTCTTGTTGATGAGGCTTATATATGGCGGTAAAAAAATACTTTCAAGAAAGTCAACCTATCTCCAACTTTTATTATAAAAGCAACTTTACTATTAAATAAGCCGAGCATGCATATTATGCTCATTCCGCAGAAAATGAAAGCAATTAATTCTAATTTCTATCCTCTTAGGAAGACTACCGCTTTCACAAAGTCGTATCTCAGAAAATTAGTCATTTCCCTTAATTATCCTGCCTACAATACAACAAGCCCTCCTGAATAGCATCTCACTAGCCTAAAGGATAAAGTAAGCTAAGAAAACTATAAGTGCTTGAACAATTTATCAGCCAGGTTGTTGCAAAAATTAATAAAACAGGCTTTAAACCAATAATAAAATGTTTTTCCTTCGAACAATATATATCCGACCAGCTAGGCCTTTAGTTCGATATGACAATAGATATTTAGTGAATCAGAAAAGTATCCACTATAGATATGTGCTCGGCCTCGTGTTACCTTCTAGACTACCACAGCCCTGTATTGAGGAACAGAAAAACGAGTCACAGAGTGCCTATAAGTGAGAAGGAAAGTTGCAGGCAAGGAGC